AAAAAAAAAAAAAAAAAAAAAAAAAAAAACAACCCCACGATGGAGGAGATTGTGAGAAATGCCAAGTGGACGTGAACGTACTGAAGGACTTGGCGGAATGACAGGAGGTGAAAGGACCAGTTTAGGGGAATGTTTAAAGGACCTGTCACCAGAGTGTCTGCAATAGGTGCTGTGCAGGGATTACATAGTATAAGCGCCACCGCTCTAACATGTTTATAACATGGCTTAGTTCCAGCAACTGTACAGGCAAGACCAAGAGTCTGAGGAGCTTGGAAAAAAGGCGACTAAGGGGGGACATGACAGAGGGCTATAAAATCATGAGTGATATAGGAAAGTAAACAAGGAAGTGTTATTTACTCCTCCTCATAATACAAGAACAAGGGGCCACCAAATGAAATTAATACGTAGCAGGTTTAAAACAAACACAAGAAAGTATTTTTTTACGCAATGCACTGTCAACCCATGGAACTCCTTGCCAGAGGATGTTGCGAAGGCCAATACTATAACGAGATTCAAAAAGGAGCTAGACAGATTCATGGAGGATAGGTTCATCAGTGGCTATTAGCCAGGATGGGCAGGAATGGTGTCCCTAGCCTCTGTTTGCCAGAAGCTGGGATTGGGCGACAGGGGATGGATCACTTGATGATAACCTGTCTGTTCATTCCCTTTGGGGCACCTGGCATTGGCCACTGTCGGTAGACAGGATACTGGGCTAGATGGACCTTTGGTCTAACCCTGTCTGGCTGTTCTAATGAAATCCCATTTCCAAAAGGGACTTAGGCACTCAGGAGCTTAGCCTCCCCTATGCACTTCTGAAAACGTTACCCCAACTCTTGTTATAACTTGATCAAGCGTAACATGCAGTGGCAAACTGATGGACGCTGATCTTGGGAGAGCCCCTGAGAGCTGAGCTAGGACTAGTCCCAGGAGTGAGGCAGTGACGGAAGCAGGAGCAGCAGGTAAACACAAACAAATAGGCTCCCTGAATGGGATAAAAGGGGGAAAATGCAATACACAATATTGTGTAATTACGGCCTCTTAACTTAAACCAGGAGTGGATCCCAATCTGCAGCTCTGTGCCCAGTATTCATCACCTCCCACTGAGCTGAGCAGAGGCTGAAAAAGGCCTAGAAGGAGAGCAAAGCTGGTGACAAGGATGGAAGCGTGTGTAGGGGGGAGGTCTCTAAAACAAGGAATTTCAAAATCAAATATTGTTTAGCATGGAAACCAGTAGCATTAGAGAAGGTTTGACTGAGGTGTTGGAGATTTCAAAGAGCTCTAGTGACTGTGAAAGCCGGATTGTTCCCTTCGGTTTGTGCTTGTCCCATAACTGGATGGGGGGGGGGGTGAAGCCACTCAATTGAACAACAAATTGAAGCAGCATATAAACAACTTGCGGAATTCCTTGCTGCAGGAGGGCAGAGAGTCAAATCCGAGACTAGATTTAAAACAAGGATGGACCCCAAATACCAAAGACGCATGGCCATGCAACTGAAGGACACAAACTGATGGCTGCAGAGGTCAGGAAGGAACGGTTCACCTCCTCTGGTGTGCAGCACTGCCCAGGGGGCTGAGTGCATTACACCCACACACACTCACTGGACTATCAGGAATTGGCTGCTGCCAAAGGCAGGATCGCGGATTCGCTGGACCAATTATGCAATCTGGCAAACGACAGTTTCCAAAACATCTAAATTCTAGGCTGTGCCAGGAGCGGGCCAAGCACTAAATCTCTGGGTTAGAATTTAACCCCTTCTCCCCAGGTCTGTCTCCCAACAATCCCAAAGGTCAAGGCACTGAATCAAATTACAAATCAAAGGGCGAGGGAAGTGACGTGTCAGAACCTCACTGCTCTTGCCCGGGGGTTCCCCTGGCCAACGCCCGTCCATTTTAAATTGACATTGTGAACCATCCATTCTCTCTTTTTGGAAAGCAGAGAGAGATCTGCTTCCGTTTGCAAGGCTCAGGCCCAGCTAGCCAGGCAGCCGAGAGAACGGTCGTGTTGCAAGAACACAGGAGTGAAAAGTTAGGGTGCAGACCTAGCTCAGGGCGGGCACGTGGCTGGGTGGGCGTGCAGTGGGGTCCCCTCAGAGATGCCTTAATATCAGATGGGTTTTCTCTTACTCTCACACACCCGCCCACAGAACAACTTCTCCAGGAGGCCAGATATTTCCTCCCCAAGGGCGAGAGGCCAAGAAGCATCACCCACCAGCTTTGGAGAGGGAGCGGTGACCTTCTCTCTGGACACAGGACCATCACGCTTGGATAGAAATGGGGGCTGGGCCGGCCAGTCCTGTGTGCTGGCCCCACCGCCCCAGTGACTTGGACACCATGGGGCCGCCGCCTTGAGCCCCTCCCTGCTCCAATGGGCAATTCCAGAAAGTTGTCTTCCAGGCCAGCCAGAGGGGGAAGGTTACAGGGTCCCCCTGGGTGCACTGCAGCCTCAGACATCCTCTGGCAGTTAAACACTAGATGCTGTCACTGTACATTGCTCCCCGCAGAGACCCACTGGGGCTGCTGGGAACGGAGGGGGGCAGGCGGGCGGTCCTGGGGGCGCAGGGACTTACCAGCACATGGGTGAATCTTTCCTCCAGCTCCCCAGCGCTGGGCATGGGCTGCTTCGGGGGCGCAGGCTGCTTGGCTGGCAGAGTTGTCGCCGGTGGCTGGGTCTTAGTCTCCTTGGCCGGAGCCTGCTCCACGCTGCCGGCCGCGTTGCCCATCCTGCTGCTCCGGCCCAGCCCAGAAAGCTGCTTCCAGGCTCCCAAATCCAGATTGGAAAAGAGGAAAGGGCCAGAAAGGAGGAAAGTTTCCTCCCCAAGTGCGAGGGGCAGGCGAGAGCGGGGGCCAGCTCAGAGCCCCCCGCCTGCAGCCAAGGGGGGAGCCGTCCCAGGAACTCTCCGCACTCCCCGCGCCCCCCGCAATCAGCGCCGGGTGCGAGGCGCGGCTGCTCCCCTGCGGGGCTCCATCTCCACGCGGCTCGGAGCGGCGAGCCGGCGTCCCATCGGCCCGGGCAGCCCCTGGCTCGGCTCGGCTCGGCGCGGCGCTTGCAGCAGGCGCGGGCTGGGGCTGGGGGAGGAAGTCAGGGTGCAGCTGCTGCGGTTCCGCGGTGCGCGCTGTGCAGGAAGCGAAGCTGCAGCCGGGGCTGGTGTTTTTATATCTCGGCTATTTGTAACTTCGGGTGCAGCCCCCCCCCGGCCCCCCGGCCCCTCTCCGCCGGGCAGGGCCGAGTCCGCACCGCGCGGCCCCAGGGGACTAGGGGGACCGGGGCGGCGGCGCGCCCGGCTCTGCCCGGCCCCCCAAGGCAGGGGCCATGGCCGGGCCCAGGCACCTGCTGCAAAGGAGCTCTCGGAGGAGCGCAGCCGAGCACCGGCAGTGAGGGGGCTTCAGGGTCCCAAAGCCCACCGCCCCCAGGCAAGGCTGAGCTCGCGTAACCGAGGAGCGAAGGCAAAGTGGGATTCAGCGGCTCGCCTCGAGTCCCGGCTGCCTCCTGGAGCGGGGGGAGGAACTAGGTCAAACGGCTGCTTATTCGGCGAGGAGCGCGGCCTGGTTCTGCCCTTTCAGCAGCTCCCCTGAGCACCCACCAGCCCCTGGCTCAGTGAGCGGCGACCAAACAGTCTCACGCCACCCCCGAGCAGCCCCCCGTTGATGGGGCGGGAGTCGGGTGCTCCCCTGGGCTTAGGGCCCTGGGCTCTCTGCTCTGGGCAGGAGGCGCTAATGCAAGGGGCTAATTCCAGGTGCTCCGGTTGATCACAAACAGCAAGAAGTAACTGGGAATTGCAGCCTAGGTCCGAGAGCGAGACCCCTGCTCCCGGCCTAGGGTGCCCTGGGACCCTCGCTCATTTTCCCCTTCGCTTCCCACTGGCAAACTTTCCTTCGCAGCCGGAATGTCTCCAGGAAAAGGGGGGAAGAAAACGACCAGTCAGTGAGGCAGGTCTCTGGCACGAGAGACATTTCCACGTTGGGTAGCCAGGCTCCAGGGGCGCTGGCTCTCAGTGACCCCACAGACAGCGTCTCAAATGCAGCCTCCAGAAAATGAAGCACGCACAGTTAGTGTCCACCTGCTGACCCTGTGGCTTAAGTGACTTGGCTGGCATCACCTGCCTTAACCAAACCATTATCCTGTCTCTGCCTGCTGGGTCAGACTGGATTCTCCAGAGACCAGGGCCGGCGTTAGGGGGCAACTGACCGGGGCCCCTTGCCACGGGGAGCTCCACGAAGCTGTTACACCATATCTACAGAGTCACTGGGGTAAATGTAGTGCGAGTATGACAGTCATTTCATCTCTAAAAGAGGAAATAAATCACACTAAAGCAGAGGTTTCCAAACATCCAGGGGGCGAGCGGTGACACCAGGCAGCTCAGGCTTTAGCGGGATGGGGGCCCACTCCTTAGCTTCCGCCCCTGGACTTCAGTGAGTCTAATGCTGGCCCTGCCAGAGACCAGCCGACAAAGAAAGGACTTTGGGATAAATGGCCGTGTTCCCGATCCAGCAAACAGACAGGACCTTCTGTGCTGGGGGCCCCCAATCCTTCCTTGGACAGGCTGGAAGGACTTTGGCCTACGAGGCCCCACAAGACTGATGGGTGCTTGTTCTGAGCTGGGGCTGTTATGAACTTGTAACCCCAGAAAACCCCCTTGCTGGGGTCTGAAGGACTGACTCCTGCCAGAGCCTGTGGGTGGGGTGATTCTGGTGAGCTTATTAGCATGCGTGCAGGTTCTTTTATTGTTTTTAATCTGTTTTCTCTGTAATCTCTTCCCTTAAGAATAAATGGGCTTGCTTAGAAAGGGCTGGGTGGTAGTTTAACTGGGGCAACTCCACCATTTACTGTCGCTGAGGAGAAAAGTAAAAGCAGCCAGGTTGGGCAGCCCAGCCATGTCGGCAGGGAGTTAGGCAGTCTGGAAATACCCCAGTCGGGAGGGAGAGACGCGGGTCTTTGCCCAAGAGAGCTGGTGGCTGAGGATTTTACAGTGGGTGCCATGGCTGGCCCATGAGGGGGAATATGGGTGCATTGCCCTGAACTGTAAAAAGAGTCTCATTCACTCCTCCCCGAGCACTGTCACTCCAGTGCCCTGAACGAGGGAGGATCCTGTGCAAAACATAGAAAGATTGCAGCACAGGGTCAGCTTCAGGACGGCTGGTCCAGTGGTTATGGTGCTAACCTGGGGCTCAGGAGATGGGCAGTCCGGGCCCTGCTCTGCCTGGGGAAACTTGAGCAAGTCCTTGTCTCTCTGTTCCTCAACTGTAAGGTGGTGCTGCTTGGGAAGTACCATCTCCCAGGGGTGCTGAAAGGATGAATGTGTTGGACTGGGAGGGGGCCAGAGAGGTACCTAAGGGCTAGGGTAAGGGGCACCCTAAGTCCTGGCATTTCCTGACTTTTGAACGCTTGACGTTGCCATTTAAAGAACATTCTTTTAGTTAAATATTTTTGTATTTAATCCTGTAGGTTTTCTTTTAAAAAAGACAAATGTAAAAGCAAATGGGGTTACATGCAACCCCCGCATCATACAGCAGCGGGGTTTGAACCCGAACCTTCAGCACTGCCCAAGCTACCAACAGGAAATAGCTGGTACCTTGGGGATGGGTTGCTGGGGCCATTGGCTAGCTTTGGGGGTAACCGAGCATCTCTTTTTCTCTCTCCTTCCCTCCCTCAACTTGGGGGAGCTCCTGCTCCATGTGGTGCCCCCGGAGGGGAATGGGACATTGAAGTCAAGGGGCCCCCTGGCTCAGGTATCTGAGAGGCTGGCTGCTCCCGTGTCATGCGTGCTGGCTCAGGAGGGCCCAGCCTTTAGAATGTGCATGTGCACTTGTCATTTGGGCTGCTGCCAACATTGTGCTGAAAATGCAAGTGCTGGAAGGGGGGTGATGTATCTCAGCAAACCCAGAGCAGAATTTTAGGGGAGAAAGAAAAGGCACTTTTCAGACCCCCAGGCTTTGTCCCTCTTTGATTTCAAAGGTTGGCTGCAAACCGCACAGCGATGAGAGCGTCGCAGGCGAAGATTGCAGGAATCTCTTATCGTGGCTCCCAGCTCCCGTATAATTACAGACGTACTTGGAGGCACCAGCAGAGATCGGGTTCCCATTGTGCCGGGCGCGATACAAACACACAGAGACAGTCCCTGCCCCAAAGAGCTTACAGTCCAAACAGACCAGACAAAGAGTGGGAAGGGAAGTGACTTGCCCAAGGTCACCCAGCACAGTTAGGTCTCCTGTAGCCCAGTCTCGTGCCCGACACTCCAGGGCAGGAGCTAGCTAATGGAGCAATTCCTTTCGCTCCAGTGCTAGAGGCCTGTGCTTTGAAGCTGAAGGTCCAGCTAGGTCTTTTCTGGCTGATGGAGCATGGGGGGCGGGGGGCACAATACTCCATCCAGGCTAGCTGCTTTGCCCCAGAGGCGGCGTGGCCTGCTGGGCAGTACAGTCTCCCTGGGGGGGCCGGCTAGGGCAGCTTCAGGTTTGAGCCCACAGGCTGCTGAGCAGAGGTCAGGGGATGTGTGAGCGAAGGGAAGTTCCCTCCAGCCGAGCCCAGAGGGCGAGAAGCCAGGAAGACCATTTCTTGCAGCCTCTCAGGGCTCATGGGCCGATCCAGCTTTCCATCTCACGCGGCTTCTCCGCGCGCGGCCCGTCTACCATGCCGTGCGGCCGGAGATGGTTTCTGAACCTGGCCACGATCCCAAGTGGAGGAGCAGTGAATGTTTTATTTCATCCCCCCCACCCCTGCCATTTACAGGCTATTAGCCGCCTTCCCTTGACTGTCATTTCCAGGCAGTGCAGTGCAGCCTGGCGCCTGGGAGCACCCAGAACCTCTGCAGGAGGGGAGCAGGGGAAATGGAGCCTCAGACGCAGGGAGGAAGTGTCTGTCTGCTAGTGCTTCGAGCAGGGGCCTGGGAGGCAGGACTCCTGGGTTCTATTCCTGGCTTCAGGGCCGGCTCTAGGATTTTTGCCGCCCAAAGCAAAAACAATTTTGGCTGCCCCCACCCCGTTTTTTAATTACCCCACCCCTGGCCCTGCCTCAACTCCGCCCCTTCCCCAAATCCCCAGCCCTGCCTCCTCCCCCCAGGCTCTCAAGCCTCGGAGGGAGGGAGGGAGGGGGAGCAGCGGCGCGCGGTTTCGCGCGCCGCGGCCGCTTGGGATCTCCCCCTCCCTCCCAGGATTGAGAGCCTGGGAGGGAGGGGGAGATTCCGAGTGGCCGCGGCGCGGGCGCCGCTTCTCGCCCTCCCTCCCAGGCTCTCAAGCCTGGGAGGGAGGGCGAGTAGCCGCGCGCGAGCAGCAGCGGAGGTGAGTTAGGGCGGCCGGGGCACATTTTTAGGGGCGGCATTCTGGCGCCGGCCAGGTCGCCCCTAAAAATGTGCCGCCCCAAGCACCAGTTTATTTTGCTGGTGCCTAGAGCCGGCCTTGCCTGGCTTCCCCGCCATTGTGCTGTGAGACTGAGCAAGTAATTTCACCTGGGTGCGCAGAGATGTCTCCATTTGTAAGTGCAGGCTGATGGCGACTCCCCCTGCCCCAGGGAGGGTTAATGGGTGTTTGCAAAGAGTTCCGCGAACCCAGTCGGAAAGTCACTTCTAGAAACACAAGTTATTCTAGCGGCAGGCTGCAAATGTGCGTGGTGTGGCAGCCAGGGGATGGGAACAGGCTAACCCGGCCTCTAGCAGGGGTCACGACCCCAAGAGGAGCACAAACAGGTGTCAGGGGCTTGCAACCTATGTTCCTTGTAAGCTGCGCGGCTGTGCAGGCAGGGGGGGAGAGGCGCCCCCCCCCCCCCCCCCCCCCCCAGAGCTT